ATTTTATACCACCTCCTGTGCGTGTCATATGGCAAATGCTTTCACTTGCTTCTTTATAGATATTGATTACCCTATTTTAAATTACTGGTCAGTCCTTTCTGATGATTCTGCGTTGGTTGGTGTTTATGTCTGGCCCTGAGTTCCTGTGGTGATGGAGGTGCCCACTCAGCCCTCTCCTTATCTCATCCGTGAGCTCCCCCTCCTTGGGGGTGTTGGGTGTTGGTGAGCTCTGCCAGGCCCTGCTCTACATCCCTCCCAGTGAGACAAGGTAGGGAGAGAAGATGAACCTGACAAGAAGGGTCTCTGGCCCCAGAGACCCAGGAATGAGCACAACTTTTGCCACGCGCTGTCCCCCATTAGGAAACTGGTTGTTAGAGAAAAGCAGCCCAGGAGGGAGGCAGTCTGTTAGTGGAAATACAACCCTGGGCATGGGGAGGGGGCAGAGCAGAGAATGTCTGAGAAGGCTCTGACACCCATGTGTATTCTGATTTTCCCTGTGGCACGGGAGCAGGTCCTTGCTGTCCAACACAGACAAGATCGTTCTGTTATGAGATGCAAAGGTCATTCCAAAATCGCATCTGGACATAGACAAAAAAGGTCACTCTGAGAACCACAAAAATGAAAACATGCCCCTCCCCTGGCTATCATGAGTATCTGCCACTCCTTCACAAAATACAGCTTTGCCTTGTTCCATTTCTCCCTCCTTCTTGATAAAATTTATTAAGATAACTCAATTATAGCATTGTCTCGGCTTCTCAACAGAATCCTATGCAGCATAGACATCCATTTCTTTTTTTTTCTTTTTTCTTTTTTTTAATATATCTTTATTGATTTCAGAGAGAGGAAAGGAGAGGGAGAGACAGAGAAACATCAATGATGAGAGATAGACATCCATTTCTTAAAACTTCCTCCCAAATCACCTGATACAAGGCCAAATTCCATAGAAATCCCTCCTGCCGACCTGTTCCTGAAAAGTCATATGGTTCGCTATTGTGTGCAATATCCCTCTCTATATAATAAGTATGAAATTTTAAGAAACTAAAAAGAAGCAAATCACCTTTGCTTTAGGCATGTTCCTGGTGGTCTTTGCTTGGGGAAAAGTGACATTTCCCCTTCACTGTCATTGTCTCACTCAGAGCATCTCTGTGGGAAAGAGAATGGGACTCACAATCTTATTTTATAGGGTTAAAACTTATTTTATAGGTGCTTTGTCTAAACTCACAGCTTTGAGCCCAAACCAAGCCTTCCGATTCTAAATCTGCCTCCCAAAGGGGCCATCCATGAATACTGCTTCCCGAGAAGGCTATTGAGCAGTCATCCTACAAGCACAAAAGCCCTGGCTTCGTGGGCTGTGTGCCACGCACTCTGTGTGTGGACCAGAAAAGGGCATCCACCACACAATCAAGGCAGTGGGATCCCAGTTCACAGATGAGGAAAGGGGGTGTAGGGGGGCGGGAAGTCCTCCTACCGGTCAGAGAAGCAATGTCCCTGAAGCCTCTTGAGGTGAGGTGGATGTCTGGTGGAGCGGAGGAAATTCTGGGAAGGGTAAGAAAGGTCTACGGTCCAGAACAAATGTACACAGTGGCCTTGTCCCTGCTGTAGAGTGAAGAGTGGATAATCAGGGCTGATGCATGTGGAGAGGGGCTTCTCATGATGGGAAAAGCCTACAGGGGACTCTAGGGAGCAGAAGGGGCTCAGAGCTGGGAAGCACCCAGAGCAGTGGCTCACCGCTTCCCAGCCCAGTTCCAGGAAATGTCGGCCTCTGCAGGGCAGCTTCCTGACCTCTGGACTAAGTGTTCAATAAAAACAAGCACTGTGATCAAAGGCAGCACCTCCAGCATGACCTGGATGCAGCTACCTCATTTCACCTCCTGCTACTTTGGACAGGAGCCATAGGAAGGTTTGGCTGCTAGAGAGAAGGGAAGGGGGAGAACAAGTTGAAGTATATCTTGCACATGTTCTCAGATGTGTCCACCTTCTTGATCCAGCTGCCGTCATCCTAATTCTGGCCACTGTCATCTGCTGCTTAAATGGTAGTAAGTACCTCCTTGCAGGTCTGATTTTTTTTTTCATACCTGTCCCCCACAATCCTTCTCCACACTGTAGTCAGAACAAGCTTTAAAAATTCAAATCTGATCATCTCTCCTTTTCCAAATTTCCTCTAATAACCCTTTGGAGGAGGTCCCAAGTCTTATAACAGTTATAATCCTATTGTCAATCTGCGTATGCCTCGTCTCTCACCACTTGGATCTCACACTGTGAGGTCAGTCAGACCGAATAGTGTCATCACTGGGAACCTGGCCTTCTTTGTCTCACTTTCAAGCCGTTGCACAGACTATTCACAGTGTGAAATCTGGACAAAACTCTGAAGGAAGCAAGAATAATCTTTGGAACTCCCGCAACTTCCTTGAGAGTCCCTTTGGAAAACTTCAAAAAGTAATAATTTTAGTTTCATATATAAGTGGAAAAAACAGTAAAGGGAGATCTCATGTACCCTTCATCCAGTTTCACCAATGACAGGATCGGATACACCATAGTACAAGTATCAAAACCAGGAAATTGACACTGGAACAGTAAAGACACAGGTCTTATTTGGATTTAACTATTATTAACTTAACCTGTATTCCTTTTTCTCTGTGTATAGTTCTATGAAATTTCTTCACAATTACAGGTTTTTGTAACCACCACAATTGAGACACAGAAATGCTCTTGGCCCACAGTGAAACTTGCCCACGTTACACCTCTAGAGCTATCCCCTCCTTGTAGTCTTGATTCCTGCTAACCACAGACCTGTTCTCTCTTATGGCACTTCTATCATTTCAAGAATGTCATATAAAAAAGAACATACGGTTTGTAAATTTTTGCGATCATATTTCCTTTACTCAACATAATACCTTTGAGATTCATTCAAGCTATTTTATGAATCAATAAATATAGTCTGGGTGGGTTTTTTTTCTGTGAGTTTTCCACCGTTTATACATCCATTCACTTGTTGAAGAAAAATTGAGTTATTTCCAGTAATTTTGGCTATTAAAAATGAAGCTTCCCAAATGAGGTATTTACATATAATGGAATATTACTCAGTCTTAAAAAAGAAGAAAGCTCTGGTATGTGCTGCAACATGGATGAACCCTGAAGACGTCGTGCTAAGTGAAATAAGCCAGTCACGAAAAGACAAATATTGTATGATTCCACTAATATAAGGTACCTAGAGTAGACAAAGTCCTAGAGATGGAAAGTAGAACGGTAGTAACCAGGCACTGAGGGGTGGGAGTGGGGAGTTGCAGTTATTGTTTAATGAGGTCATTGTCAGTTAGGGGTGATGAAAGAGTTCTGGAGATGAAGAGTGGCAATGCCTGCACAAGAGCGTAAACGTGCTTAATGCTGCTGAATTAATTGTACACTGAATAATGGTAAACATGATGTTATGTGTATTTTGCCACAATAAAAAATGGATGACAATTTGAAGGACAATTTGTGCAATATTAAAGCAAACAGCTGCCAAGCACTGTGCCAGAAGTCCCCGGGGAAGGTTAGGAGTTTAGGGCAGTTCTAAGAGTTGTTTGTTAATCTGAGGTTGAAGGCCGGGCCAGCCTGTCTCAGTTCACAAGGCTGATTGGGCCCTGCAGGTGCCTGGTCCAGCCTCCTTCCTCACCCTGGGGCACCTGCCAGAGTCCCTGGCTGGAGGGCCAGCTTCTTCATCTTTGCATCCCTGCTCTGCAGAAGCCCCGGTAAGTTCTTTCTGCTGAATGGATCTAGGGTCCTGGATTTGTCTAGGGACTTGACTTGACCTTGGAGGCCAACAGGAGGCTTTCTGAGGGGTGGAGGTGAGGAGGTAGCCAGCAGAAGTCATGTAGGAAGTGTCCTTTTTTCCGCCTTATGCTGAGAGACTGGTGACTTTCCTGGACTTACCTGACCATTTGCAGATGAGACTGGCTGCCTTTGTTTCCAAAGAGCCATAAAGAATTAGAACCACAAAGCTAGGCTGCTGAGGTTCCCTGAGAAATGACAGTATTTATATATTTATTTATTTAAAATATGTCTTTATTGATTTCAGAGAGAAGAAGGGAGAGGGAGAGAGAGATAGAAACATCAATGATGAGAAAGTCATTGATGGGCTGCCTCCTGCACACCCCTTACTGGGGATCGAGCCCCCAACCCCCACACCGGCTGGGCGGAGATGAGTTTTTGAGAGCTTGGAAAGACTGATGAAATGCTAAGACTGAGAAATGGGAAGGGGAGTCAAGGAAGGTGGTAACTTCCAGTGTTTTAGACTCACAGAACACAGGAAATTTCTGTCAGGAACTGAAGAGGAATCTGGCATCTTACCAGGGGCAAGGTAGTGAGAAATTTCCAGAGAAAATGCTACCCCTGGTAAGTCTTGCAGTGAGAAATAAAACTTCTAGAGGAAGCAAACTGAAATTAATTCTGGGCTGGGTCAGTGACTAGCAGTGACTCTTCCTCTCTGGATTACCAGCCTACAGCTTAGTGCCTGCCATTAAGTCAATGTTGGCTAACTGGCCCTGAAAGGCAATGGCCTGCCCAGGTATGAGGATAGGATGCAGGTGGCAGATGGGTCCAAAGGGAAGCGGTGGGGTAAGAGGGAACTCCTACAGATTCCTGGGTCTCCATTCACTTCCAGGCCATGCGACAAAAGGCATGAGTGTGCTGGCGGTGTAGGCCCCTTTGCTCTCAGAAAGGACATGGGGAGAATACTCGCAGCCTTCTAGTACGTAATATTGTAGGCCTCGTGACCCCCTCCCCAGGGACCCCACTGTACGTTGTTCCTATCTTTGTTAAACTACTAATCACACAATATCAGAAGGAAGATTTACTTTTCCAAATCCCCAGTCTAGAGGCAGCAATAAGTGGGTCATCCATCCCTGCATCGCCTCTGCCCAGTACGGGTTATAGGACAGGAGGAATGTTTGGTACATACATGTTGGTTAACTGAACAAGATGAGACAATCTTCCCTGATTTTCCCCACACCAGGGTGAGGACCATGTCTCTGTTTCCATCGCTCTCTCTCCTTCTTCTGAGTGTGGTGACAGCATCTTGCTCAGAAGCAGAACCCTATGAGAACCTCCCTAAGACCTGCCCTGTGATCACCTGTGCTTCTCCCGGCATCAACGGCCTGCCAGGCAGAGATGGGCGTGACGGAGCCAAGGGAGAAAAGGGAGAACCAGGTAGAGCTTGGGCTGTTCTCTCTCTGTGACTCTACCTTCCAGACATAATTGCCTGGAGGTGTGAGAGTAATGTCCTATTCATATAGGTTGTATTTCTCTCATGTGCATATTATAATTCAAGACAGATACAGCTCTGACTCTGACATCTCAGACTTCCACACAGGAACTGGTGACATGTGGCTGTCCTGCCTGCTCAGGGAGTTGGTCTCCATGGCAGGCCATCCCGAGGGACAGGGGAAGATTTTCTTCTCTGGGTCAGTGGACCTAGTGATTTAGAAAGTTGGTCCTGGATTAACATCTCCTTTCTCCTGGGAAGGAATCAGGCATCAATTAGAACTAGAGAAATAGAGCAAAAACATAGACACTAATTTATGTTTCCTTCATCTTCCAACAGGCCAAGGGCTCAGAGGCTTGCAGGGTCCTCCTGGAAAGGTGGGGCCTCCAGGAAATCCAGGGCCCCCTGGGCTTCCAGGACCAGTAGGCTCAAAAGGAGACCCTGGAAAATGTCCAGGTAAGAAGCTAATCTCAACCAGATCTAGGCTGGGGGCACCCAGGGTCCTGGGACTTTGAGTGCCAGGTGGGAAATGCCCCTTCTCCTGCTGCTTCATGGCAAGATGCCCAATTCTTCTTCCTGACCCAGCACGCTCAGCCCTCTCTAGGTTACTAAGAGCCTCAGGGGATTCCTATCAGGGCCTGACTCCAGACTTGCAGACCCTTTGGGGCCACTCCTTCACCAGGCACCTCCTGAAGGAACTGGGCCCTGGCTGTCCTTTAGCTGACACAATGTGAAGCTCTGGTCCAAAAGGGAGAAATTAGAGCGCATATGTGTTGGGCTTAGTATGTATATTTTCACAACAGCATCATATACATGGTATGTCACTTAGCTTTTACTTCATGAGAAACAAACAAAAAAACACAGCCATTTATTTAAATCACAATTCTGTGGATCTGCAAAGTGATTTTTTTGCTGATCTCAGTATCGTGGTCAACTGATGAGCAATGGTCCCACGTCCGTCTCGTTGCTGTTCAGCTGTCAGCTGGAGTGATGAGGGTGACTGACCCACAGGTCTCTGATCCCCCAACAGGCTGGCACGGCCTGTTCACATAGAGGTGATTACAACATTCCCACAGTAGAAAGGGTAGGAGCCTTAAGGCCTCTGAAGGCTTAGGACATGCACTTTATTGGTTCCGTCACATTCGAGTGGTCAAAACAAGTCACAGGGCTAGCCCAGATTCAAGGAGTGGGGAAATAGACTCCATGTCTTAACGAGACAAGCTGCACAATACTGAGGCCATTTTTGCCACCTGTTACACATGGTCTCCTTGTGCCCGCCCCCCTTAAGGAATGTGCAACTCACGACAATCTTAGTTCACTGAATGAACTCTGGGGAAAACAAAGACAAAACAATAAAAGCAACACAAACAAAACCTCCCTAAAGACAAAAATCAGTAGTCTTTTTAGTCAGTATTCACCAGCACATAATCATTCCCCAAGGTATTTCTTTTTTACTCATGATAGAGTTGTTTATTTGGGAGAAAGCAAACAAACCAGCAACAATTAGTGAAGAGCTTGGCCTATGGAGCGCTGTCATGATAGGTCATCAGGCAGTGCATGTGTGCTCATGTACGTGTGTGTGTGTGTGTGTGTGTAAAGTGTCTAAATACGTTCAACAGATGATGAGTGATGTTTTGAGCTGGAAGGAAATAGAGATGCTTTTCCTTTTTTAAAAATTTTCCTTCAAGAGCAAATATCAATTTATAATTTATTTTTTTTCTTACTTTTGAAAAAAATACCCTACCCGCTTATAGTTCTGAAATCCCTTCTCAACAATGTTTTCTCACTTTATTTAAATTTTCTAGGTTGTGATGATGGCCTGGCTGCTTTAGAAAGAGAAACTCTGCGATCAGAATTGAACCGTATCAAAAACTGTAAGCCTTTTCTCACATTTCAGGCAGCTTACAGTTTAGGAAGGTGGAAGATAGTAAATATTTATTAAATACATATAATTTTCTAGTGCCTGGATAGGTGTTCCTCGTATTCTGATCTCATGAACTCCTTCCAACCTTTTTGTAGAAATGGAGGCAAAGAGATATCGCATAACTTGCTTAAATGCACAGAGGTGGTAAGTGGCAGAGGTAGTTTTTAAATAGAAATTGGTCTGTCTCCAGATTCCAATCCTGCACTCTCTACTATCAGCCTGAGCATGTGTCACTGAAAATGGGACCTATGCCTCTTTCTCTTTGCTATGCTGGTGTTATGACCTGACTGTGAGGCCTAACCGGTTCCTTCTGTGCCCTCCTGGCCTGAGGCATATATTCTCAGACATTTTGTTTATTCTCAAGTTAAAACTGGGGTAAAATTCAGAATTACCATTTACACATGTTTTAGAACTCTTATCTAAAAGGACAAAGGCATTTGTTCCAGTCAGTCTTTCAGATTAGATTTGCCAGATTTAACAAATAAAAGAACAGGACACCTAGTTAAATTTGAATTTCAGGTAAACAATAACTAATTTTTTCCTGTGTAAGCATGTCCTCAAAGTTGCATGGGAAATACTTATAATAAATAAATAAATAAATAAATAAACNATAAAAGAACAGGACACCTAGTTAAATTTGAATTTCAGGTAAACAATAACTAATTTTTTCCTGTGTAAGCATGTCCTCAAAGTTGCATGGGAAATACTTTAATAAATAAATAAATNGGTAAACAATAACTAATTTTTTCCTGTGTAAGCATGTCCTCAAAGTTGCATGGGAAATACTTATAATAAATAAATAAATAAATAAATAAACAAATAAATAAATAAATAAATATATTGTTTGCCTGAAATTCAAATTTAACTGGGCATACTGTATTCCACCAGAAAAATACCTTCGGCTGGACTTAAAGACCAGCCAGTGTCACCCACATTTTTCCTATTTTAGGGTTGACCTTCTCTCTGGGCAAACAAGTTGGAAAGAAGTTCTTCTTGACCAATGGTGAAAAGATGACCTTTGACAAAGTGAAGGCTGTGTGCACCCAGTTCCAGGCCTCTGTGGCCACCCCCAGGGATGCTGAAGAGAACAAGGCCATCCTGCATTTAACCAAAGGAGAGGCCTACCTGGGCATCACAGATGAGGGGAAGGAAGGCCATTTTGTGGATCTGACAGGAATGGGACTGACCTACCAAAACTGGAATGACAATGAGCCCAACGATGCTGGCTCTGGGGAAGATTGTGTGGCGATGCGGGAGGACGGCAAATGGAATGATGTCGATTGCTCAACAACTTCCCTTTGGGCAGTGTGCGAGTTCCCCGTCTGAAGGAGCTCTTCCCTCAGGCCCTCCTGCCTCTTAGAGTCATCTCAGGGCCACAGTCTGCTTTGGAAGATAAATCTATACCAATTTTTCCCATAACCAGTACTGATTTGCCCCTTTGTGGGGAATAAGAGAAAATGAGAAGAATGGACTGAAGAATGGGAAGTAGAAGTGAGAAGTGAGAAGAAACTGACGGGTACAGTGAGAGTTTCTGATTCAGACCCAGTCACTAATGATAATCACTAACAACAACAAAATCACAACAGTAATAGTGAGTAGTAGCATCAGTAGAAGTACTGATAATATGTATTTCAATGTTTACTATGAATGAGGCCCTATATTATGCAACATATTATTTACATTATTTACATAATCTATGTAATATTAATATAATTTACATAATATTGTTTTTAATTAGACTATGCACTTTTGTTTGAGTCGTGTTAACTTGCTGAGGTATACAAATAAAATTTATTTTTCCACTTGCTATAAACACCTGTGTCCTGTTAAGCTCTCCTTTCTCTTTGAGAGGACTCCACTAATGGCATCCCCCAGCCTAATGCCATAGCTTTTTGGCCAGTCTCAGGTACTCGGAGGATCTATTTTGTTGCTTTCTTTCTGAACTACAGTTTATTTTCTTTTTAATGAGATACTAAACTATGTAAAGAACATAAATCTCAAGTTAACTAATAAACTAATTCTACTAACCACCTTCTAGATCAATATACAGGACCTTTCTAGCATCCTAGATGCCCCTTCAAAACCTCTCCTAGTTGATATTCACAATGTAAATACTACGCTGACCTCTATTACTATACATTAATTTTATCTATTTATGAACTTTACATAGATGGAACCATACATGCGTACATACATACATACTGTTTTATGTTTTGCTAATTCAAAATTAAGTCTGTGAAATTCATTCATGTTGTTAACAATATAGCAAAAGATTTTTCATTTTCATTGTCACATAGGGTTCCACTGTATGACTATACCTCAGTTTATCCATTCTATTGTTAATAGACCATTGGATTGCTTCCAGTTTTTGACCATTAAGAAAAAAACTCATGACAATTTCTGTACTTGTCTTTTGGTAGACATATGCCCTAATTTCTCTTGGTTATCTACCCAGGAGTAGAGTTGGTGGTTCATGAGGAAAGTATGTGTTTAGCTTTAGTAGATGCTGCCAGATCAAATGAATTTACACTCCCACTAGCAGTGTGTGTCAGTTCTAGTTGCTCTACCTACTTGTAAAGAGTTGATATCTTTAGTCTTTTTAATTTTGGCCATTCCTGTGGGTGTAAAGTGTTATCTCATGATGGCTTTACTTTCTGTTTCCATGACATGTAACAACGTTGAACACTTTTTCATAGGCTTATTGGCTACTTGGAAATCTTCTTTTGTGAAGTACCTATACAAGTCTTTTGTATTTTGTTTAAATTAAGTAGCCAGTATCTTTCTTACTGATTCGTGAGAGTTATTTTAATATTTTGAATATAAATCCTTTTTGTTTATATGTATCACAAATATTTTTCAAGTTTGTGATCTGTTCCCACTATTGACTTTCGATGAACAAAGTTCTTAATTTTATCAAAGTCCAATCCAATGTATCAATATTTTCATTGTTAGTACTTTTAATGTCCTTTTTAAGAAATCTTTGCCTAGTCCAAACTATTAAAGACACTCTCATATTTTTTAGTAGCTTTGTTGCTAAACTTTCTATTTATGTCTTTTAGTATCTACTATACAGAACTCTTGTTGGAAAGATAATTCTCCCACACACATTGAATTAGAGTAGTACCTTTTTATAAATTAGGTAACTGTGTGTGAGTCTATTTCTGGGCTTTCTATACTATTCTGATGGTTTAGTTGTTGATGCTTGTGCCAATATTACACTATCTCAATTACTGTACTTTATAATAGGAACAGATATGTGGCAGTGTGTGCCTTCCAGGTTTGTTCTTCTTCAAGATTTCCTTGGCTTTTCTGAATTATTTACATTTCCATATAAATTTTAGAACCAACTTTTCAATTTACACAAAACTTGATAGGTTTCTAGTGGGACTGTGTGGATCCTAATGATCAGTTTAGGCAGAATTGACAACTAACTATCGAGTCTCCAACCAATGATCATAATATAATCCTTTAACTAGGATTTCCTTAACTTCTTTAATGTTTGAAGTCTTTAATTTAGAGCTCTTGCATATCTTGTTTTGGTGGTTTTAAAAATAAGGTGATTTTAGTAATTTTTATTTTGTTTGTAATTATTTTTACAGAAAAACAATTAATTTTTGTATGTCATATTATTGCCTGTAACCTCAATATGTTCGTTTCTTAATTGTAATAATTTGTAAGTTCTGGATACTCTATATACACAGTAATATAACCTAAAACTGTGGAGCTGCAGTGGCTCAGTGGTTGAGCATCGACCTATGAACCAGGAGATCATGATTTGATTCCCGGTCAGGGCACATTCAGGCTCTAATCCCAGTGCGGGGCTTGCCGGAGGCAGCCAATCAAAGACTCTCTCTCATCATTGATGTTTCTATCTCTCTCTCCCACTCCCTTCCTCTCTCTGAAATCAATTAAATAAATAAATAAACAAACAAACAAACAAATGTAAAATAAAATAAAATTGTGGAGTTACTTCTTCTTTCCCAATTACTATATCTTTTTTTCTTGTTTTATTGAACTTGTTAGCAACCTTAATGCAGTATTCAACAGAAGTAGTAATAATGACCACCCTGGCCTGGGTCATTAAGATGACTTTGTTTTATTTAAGTTATTAAGACTCAGTCTTCATCCTGCTAAAAATTTCAAACTTATATTTAACTCAATTCTCTTCTCTGCCTACCTTCCCCTTTGTGCTGAAGAAGCTTGCAGGTGAGGGTGGAGTCCTACTTTCTATCACCTCACCCTTGCTTCCTTGAATACAGTTTTTAGGAGTTGGACTGAGAGGAGGAATGATAATTTTTAAAACGATTAGTTGCTTGGTTTTCAGTGCTTTACTCTGATATGATTAAAATATGATTCTAAGTAATTTTATGGCCTCCTGTAACCTACTCTGTTCTATCCAGAAGCAAAAATCCCATTATACACTTCATTCCTTAATTCAATCTCTTACATTTTTTTATTAAGAATGAAAATGTAGCCCGGCTGGGCGTGGCTCAGCGGTTGAGCGTCGACCTGGGATCCAGGCGATCGGGGTTCAATTCTTGGTCAGGGCACATGCCCGCGTTGCGGGCTTGATCAATGACTCTCTCATCATTGATGTTTCTCTCTCTCTCTCTCTCCCTCTCCTTTCCTCTCTCTGAAATCAATAAAGATATATTAAAAAGAAAAAAAAAATTCCTTTAAAAAAAAAAAAAGAAGAATGAAAATGTAGAGGATTCCAGTGACTATCCCCTTTGGCTGCTTGACTCTTTCTTCACCATGTTTACAGGAAAGATAGCACTTGATTTATATAAAAAATAATACATTCAGATTTCTGGTTTCTACTTCGACATTAAAGGCTTGGAAGTCATACTTGTATCCTCACAATCACAACAAAAAAAGCCAAACAAACTGAAAATTAATGACTTTTCTTAGATCCTTTAGAGAACTGAGTTCATTAGGCTGTCTCAAGATGAAATCCCTGTCCCTTTGTAGTAATTAAAGACTGAAGGATATAATTTAATTCTTCCTGATGCTCAATGGTCCCACTTTTCGTTTCCTGACTCTGCTCAGGCTGAGCTAGAAGACTATCACTTCTTCAGAGGGAGCTCAGGCCACTTGCCCTTGAAGTGAACATAGCCCCTCCAAATCAGGGCTCGTTACATCCCAGACTTCCTTGTGCTCCACTCTCCCGTGCTTCAGAGGCTGAAATGACACACAGGAAGGTTACCAATGTAAGAAAATTCCATTGCAACTATAGCACATTCCGGCAGAAGTGATGGCCCTGCTCTCTGCTACCTGCCAAGGTCTTGGTGACAACATGAGAGCAACAACTGTAGGCTGAAACAAGATTAAAAAAAACAGAAAAGACCCCTCGAGCCTATCTTCACCATGATCCCACCCCACCAGAGCCAGTGCTTATGCCACACTCTGTTCATTTAAATATATTTGGGGTAAATTCCACACTTTGTGGTTATTTTTATGAGTTCCTATAATCATGGAGAAAAATCAGCTTCTTCAAATACCACCTTTCTCTCAGTGAGTGGCTTTGAGATGATCTAACATTTTTGAAAAATTAACACTTCAGCTCGTGAGACCTCAGGTTTTATGTTACCCAATCGCTCCCATATGATCCTTCACCTATATTTAAAATCTCCTAATCTCAACTTTCTCTTTCCAGTGCAAATTATGGCAAGGGTTCTTCCCATGAGCAGTCTCCATGCCCTCTAATGGGTAGGACATCCCACACATAATGTAAGGTGACCCTCCCAGTAGGGTTTATGGTCTCACCCTCAGATACAATGTCTTGCCTTCTCTTCACTGAACTACTCAGCCACTGGGGCTTCCTCTCCTTCTGTAGTTCTCTAAGCCCAGAGGGGCTCCCACCTTGGGGAGGCTCCCTCTACTCCACCCTGGTGTCTACAGGAGAGACTCCTGAAGCTTGTGCCTCCAGAGCCCCTGGGGAGGGCCAGAAAGCTTTAGGCTGTGGGTGTCTCCCCCAAATGTGCTCTCTGGCAGCTTTAAATTATCAAAGCCTCAGATAATTTGCACACTTTGGCATCAAAAACTCTCTTTTCTATCACATTGTTTTCTGTTTGTTTGTTTTTCCCCCTCTCCCTTTCTCTACTGTCTCCTCTCCTTTCAAAGTTTTATTACATAAGACCTACAAAGAATCCTGGTTTACAATAGATTGATATTCTTTGTGACTTGGGGTTAGGCAAAATTTTCTTAGAGAGATCAGAGAAGTCAGTAGTCATTAAATGAGAAAATGATAAATTAGGTTTCATCAAAATGGAAGATTAATTTAGTTTCTTAAACATTAAGAAAACATAGCTACACCATGCCTTGGA